TGCTATAGAGGATGTTTATAAGAGTTGCGTCTTTAATAAACAATAGTAGTGGGTTAATCTCAAAATAACCCAGTGTCTAGTCCTTCAGGTGCAACGAAAACCAAGTTCCCATATAGGCCTTGACAGTTGGAATTTGAAAGGAGAGTAGGCCGTGGTGCAGCTATCCGGACAAAATTGCCCTCGTGGAGAAAAGTACGACGTTAAAAAACATTTAATTTCATTTCTCAAAATGACCTAGTTTGTGTCTAGTGGACGTTAAACCCCATATCTCTCTCTCTCCCTGTATTGATATATTTAGATTGAAGATTAACTGGGTTAAAAGATATTCAATTATTCATAATAAACGTTTATAGATATGGTATATAAAGGTGGTATATATGACAGTGTGGTATATTATAACAGCTATCGGGGTAATTAACGGTTCATCTAGAATCGATTACACCCAGCACGCCAGCTTCTATTCCCTGATGTCATATTACACACAGAATATTGGACAAATAAATGAAATGGGATTTAATGTCCTACTTTTCTATAAAGTCTAGTCGTTCAGGTGTGATGTAAAGCCGAGGTCTCGTGTACACATTGGCGTGCACGTAAAAGATCCCTTGACAGTTGGAATTCGATATGAGTTTAGTCTCATAGCACACTGTATGATGTATGCCCGTCTTCATTAGCCCAGTCGGAGCAGAACAGAGTTGGAGGCTAAAACCCCATTTCATTTCATTTTCTACTTTTCTGCACCAAATAGGATAATGAAAACGGGCACACACCAAGTAGTGTGGTATGATGGAATTTTTTGCCCCGGCAGTGGCGCTACGGCCCAATCGATTCCAACTGTCAAAGCTTCCTTTACGTGTACGCCAGTGTTTATACTGGACGTCGATTTTGCGCCCCATCCTACCGACTAGACACTGTCCGTACCAGTCTCCCCCTCCCCTCACTGACAACGGGAAACTGGGCCGGAAAATCCAGAATAATTTGTAATCGAATATTTCTTGATAAACGTACTTTAAATCGTACATGGTCTTGATTTTTATATTTAACTATGTTGAAACTATAATCAATTTTTATTTATATTTACCAGTATAAATTACTGGACCATGTTTAATATTTAACACGTTAACCAATTATACTGATCTAATAATATCACCAATATAAATTACTATACCATATAAATATCATTTAGATCACAGTATTGTTTTAAATATTTAACACGTTAAACGTTAATCAATTAGCCTACTGATATACATTTCAGAGAGTGAGAGGGTGAGGTTTAAAGTCCACTCAACATAAACTAGGTCATTTAGGGACTAACATATTGTTCAATTTTATTTCAATAATTCGCTTGCGCGTAGGGGTCTTTAGCAGTGGGAGGAAACCAGAGGACCCGGAGAAAACCCACGAGGATAGACAGGCGACCGTACTCTTTGTCACATACAATCAGGGAATCGAAACCACGCCAGTTGACTCAAAGACAGACCTTATGATACAACGCGCACACACTAACTATTCGGTCATCCAACCCCCCTGCTCAGTGAGTAAGACGTGTTCTGTCCCTGTGTTGGCCGAGAAAGCTCATGAAAATTTTCTCGAGTGGTTCCCCCTTGTCAGTCGTGTGGAACAAGGGGCCTTGCCTTGGACAACGTATAGTCCTTCGGATGAGACGACAATCCGAGGTCCCGTGTACATATTGGCGTGGACGTAAAAGATCCATATGAAATCGATACAAGAGTAGGTCGTAGGGCCGCTGCCCGGGCAACATTTCCCTCATAGGACACTGTGTAGCGTATGCCCGTCTTCATGATCCCAGTCGTTGCAGAACAGTAGGACGTTAAACCCCATTTGATTTGTTTAACTGATATAGATCCTAGATCTAATAATACTATCAATTAAATTTAAATGTTTTGATGTCAGGTTTTAAATCGTCCCTTTAAATATTGGTTAGATTGTTTTAATATAGACCCCTTTAAATTTAATAATACCCAGTAATTTTAAAAATAGGAAATTACAAAAGTTAAATGGGGTTGATAACGCCCTATACGTTTCCACATCAAGTGAGCTTCTGAAAATAGACATGTGCCATACAGTTTACTATATTTATATAATATGTATATGTTTGTCATTTTTACTATGTATATACACCCATTTTGCATTAATAATATATATATATACAAATTATTTAGGGAGAGGGGTTTTACATAGGGTAAGCCTGTTCCCCAATCCCATTCAGACATCCTGAATAAAAATACTGTTTAAAAAAAAAGAAGTTTACTATGAGGGAAACATTGCCGAGACAGTAGCGTTCAGTGTGTATAGTAGCGTTTAGTGTGTTCAGTCCGAAGGACTAGACGGTGTTCCTCCTCCTTGCCATATCTTCTATCCTGCACCATATGTATACGGGGCCTCGGTTTTTAGTCCAATCCGAAGGACTAGACGGTGTTCCTCCTCCTTGCCATATCTTCTATCATTCACTGACAAGCCCGATGGTCAGTGAACCAGCGACTCACAATTCACTGGCTACCAATTTAAAAATGACGAAGAATAATATATGTTTTAAGATTTAAACGTAAAAGGTCCTACCTAGATCAATAGATATTTAACTGGAGCTTGTCCCATCACTAATCGATCGATACAAGATCAATATAAATCATTATTGTATTGTACCGCGAATCAGACGAAAAACCGAGTTACTGTGTATAGCAATGGCAGCACCTTCACGATCCCATGACAGTCGAAAATCGAAATAATCGTAGGCCGCAATCAGGGAGAAATTTCTCTAATAGCACATTGCATGGCATATTCCCGTCTTCCTGACAAGGACAGCTGTCTAGTTGTTCGGATGGGACGAAAAACCGAGATCAGTTGTACACATTGGCGTGCACGTAAAAGATCCCTTGACAGTTGGAATTCGATATAAGAGTAGACCACAGTGCCGCTGTCCGGGCAAAATACCTTAGTAGCACACTGTATGGCGTATGCCCGTCCTCATTAGCCCAGTCGGAGCACAACAGTAGGGCGTTAAAACCCATTTCATTTTCCCCCGTCTTCATTATGCCTATTAGGTCTAGCAGAGTTACTTTACGCCCCATTTCATTTCCACTCACAGGAGTTAAATACCATTATCTTCCGTCATCAGTGAACGAACAGTAAGTCATCCCTTAATAGGTTAATACCTTTAGGTTAAATAGCATGCAAACTACCTAGTTATCTCACACGTCAAGTACTCGTAGGCTAGTTAGTTATAGTCAATGAATGAGGAATAAAAAAGATATCTTTCCCAGCAGGTGCTTGATAAACATTAGAAAATACCGACACGTAATAAACAATGTTTTAATTCTGTGTATTTTAAGTTAAATTACTCAACGTCGTTTAAACAAAATAATATATCAAGTCCCCTTTCTATTAATAGAAATAGGTGATGTAATGTAGAAATAGTGATAACAGGCCTTGTTTTTAAACAGGTAGATGTCAGTAAGACATAATATTAACTTAAGGTAATCACTTTTATTAATATACAATAATTCACGGGGATTATCTCCTCCACGTGTCAGGTGATAGTTATATCGGATGATAGCCAACTCGGAATTCCTCAATGGCCTGGATATTCCTGTATAATTAGTGTCATTTAACGCGGGAAACAATGGACCAATAATTCCCCAAATATTTAAATAGTTATCCCCCCAAAAAATGTAAGCGTTTAAACCTAATTACGTATATTTAAAGACACATTATGTAAGATTTAGATAAAGAACTGGCAATTTCCGCTATAATAGTTCAATAATAGATAATGGAAAATTAATATATTGATAATTTCAGTTAAATTACTTTAAAAGAGAGAGAGAAATGGGGTTTAACGTCCACTCGACCCAGACTAGGTCATTTCGGGACTAACATATGGTTTAATTTTATTTACATAATTCGCTTGCGCGTAGGGGTCTTTAGCAGTCGGAGGAACCCGGAGGACCCGGAGAAAACCCACGAGGTTGGACAGGCGACCCTACTCCTTGCCACGTACAACCGGGGGTTAAATTACTTTATGCTAAGTTATGAGTATTTGAAGTTTTCACAATAGTGTTTTGCTTTTCAAGTACCATCACTGTGAAAAGTCTGAATTATCCCATTTTAAATCATTAAATCCGATAGTCTAGAGAGCTGTACTTGTGAATAAATGTCTAAATAATAATTTATATAGCAAGTGAAGCCAGAGAGAAAGATAGACACCAGGTAGGTTTACCTGTGACATAATAATTATATGTTTTGCGCTATACAAATTCTGTGCACATTAACTGATTAATACACTACTGCGCGAACAATATCCCCTCGATCCTTGAAGTGCATGCTGCCCGAGCAAAATCCACCCATTCTCGGCACTGCGTGCATAATCAAAAACGTTAGTCTATTTTTCTCTGAACTAGAACATTGGTAGTTTAAAGTACTGCTACGCGGGCGAAATCCCCTCCCCTCGGCACTGCGTGCATAATCAAAAACGTTATAAGTCTATTTTTCTCTGAATTCGAAGATTAGTAGTTTGAAGTACTGCTGCGCGGGCGAAATCCCCTCATCCTCAGAAATGCGCGAGTAACCAAAGACAAATTAACCGCTAGCCTTTATTTTCTGCCTAATATCAAGGGTGGGGCGAGCGATATTAGTAACTAATAATTTTCATCTATTAACGATGATGAGATAAGCTTGAAGTTGAATCAATAGAAAACTTGTTATTTATTATGACGACCTGAGGCCCTGGTTGAAGGTGATTTAACTCTATTATATAACAGTTTATTGATTGCCCACTCTCGTCGTATTAACATTCTAATAGACTCGTGTAATACCTCTATATAACCTTGCCGTAATACCCGCGGCAAATCCCTGCAACAATACCCATACAACTTCATGAATAAGCTCCATTTTAAGGATATTGATGCGCGCGCATGTACCCTGACGTCAGCTAGGTTATAGGTAAAATTATAAATATAGCGCGTGCAAGGTGTGATTTATAATAATACAAGCACGTGTTGTGTGTAGATATTGTATATATATATATATAAACACACGCTTAGTATACTACAAGTCATAAGTAATTGAAGCTTTGAAAGACAAACATTAACGATTGCTTTTTTTGAAGAGATACGCGACCTACTTAGGAATATTAGTGTGGATAAAAGTTTTATGATAGTTGACTGTGAACTATAAACCTGTATTTTACCTGTGTTTTACCTGTATTTTCACCTGTACGATCAACAAATCTTAAACAATGTGATTTTACTTTAAAACGATTGTAGATTTATTGTTTCGTCATTGTGGTTCAACTTGAATCAAAGTGATTTAAAGACAAGGAAACATTATTTTGAAAAGAACAACTTCGACTTTTTTTTTACAGATTTCTTGATATATTCAATCAGGATTAATTTAAAGACTTCAAATGGAGACGGCTATACAATATCCAGCTAGTTTTTGTTCGAGACGAAGGAGAAGTAGAACCTTACCACCATTGATTATGCCCCCGACACAGAATGTTGAATTTCCCCAGGATTACGACGATGTTGTTGAAGAAGGGAAATTATTATTTAATCGTTTTGTTCTTGACCGACTTGAACAAGAACATCCTGGTGACGCAACAGCAATAGCAATACCGTAAGTGTTTTTAAAAAATATCTTCTAACAATATAAGATGTAATGAAATAGAATTTAACTTCCTTTTCTGCTTCTTAATGCAGTATGCACACAGTGTGATGTGAGAGTAATTTTGCCCGGGCAGCGGCGCTATGACCTAATCTTTTATCGAATTCAAATTGTCATGGGCTGTTTTACGTGCACGCCAAAGTGTAAATTTTAAAAAAGAGAGTAACACTCCATGATATTCATTTAAACATCATAGTCTCGATTATCCATTTTTAATTAAAATCGTTAAATCGTGAAGGAAAGAGAGAGAGAGAGAGAGAGAGAGAAATGGGGTTTAACGTCCATTCGACGAAGTCATTTCGGGACTAACATCTGGTTTAATTTTATTTCAATAATTCGCTTGCGCGTTGGGGTCTTTAGCAGTGGGGGAGAACCGGAGGACCGGGAGAAAACCCACGAGGTTGGACAGGCGACCCTACTCCTTGTCACGTACAACCAGGGAATTGAAACCACGCCAGTTGACTCAATGACAGGCCTTATGATACAGCGCGCACGTGCTAACCATTCGGCCATCCAAACCCCCTTTAAAAATGGAACGCAAGGTACAATTTTATGGATACATAATTAGCGAATTTCCCCTCGTCTTTATCCAGCGAACTTAGCAAATTATATACTTGGGAACATCAAAAATTATAAGTTTGGCAGTACAAGCTATATGTCACCTTCTAAACATGATATTAGGCAAGCATAGCCTGCCTCCTGCACGACAATCGTTACTGTGAATATTCTATAGCATCATTAGTTGGCACTACATGTACCCGGATATTAAAATAACTTAGTCTTTTATGTTCAGTAAACAGTGACGATTATATCTTAGTCTTTTATGTTCAGTCAACTGTAACTTTTATATCTTAGAAGTAGAAAATGATAATAGACAAATAATAGAAAAGGTGGGAGGAGGGGGCGAGGGTTGATAATTATAAATAAATACTTTGGTTGTGAATATTGTAGCGGATCTTAGATCTATGTTTATATTTTCTAAGAAAGGGGTGGGAGTGCGCGTTGTATCATAAGGTCTGTCATTGAGTCAACTGGCATGGTTTCGATTCCCCGGTTGAAGGTGACAAGGAGTAGGGTGGCCTGTCTGACCTCATGGCTTTTCTCCGGGTCCCCCGGTTTCATCCCACTGCTAAAGTCCCCTTGTACGTGACAAGGAGTACGGTCGCCTGTCTAACCTCGTGGGTTTTCTCCGGACCCTCCAGTTTCACCCCAATAAAATTGAACCTTTGGACATTAAACCCCATTTCTCTCCCTTTCTCTCTTTCTAAGAAATATATGAGTTAGTTAGGAGAGGTTTTAAACAAGATAATAATCTTTATCGAAACAGGATTCTAAGAATTACATATTTGAACGGGTCATGACATTGATAATCAAATTCCGAAAAGCCTTTATTAAATATTACACCTTGTTCTCTCTCGATTAAACATGATTTGTCAATAGAATTATACTGTGTGCAAAATGGGGAATATAATCTATCTGTTCGTCGCTAAGATACATGCGTTCTAATTCATTTACTAAAACCCTGTTTCATTTTATTGAACATTGTTAATTTGATCAGAAATACATACATTAGTTTTTATTGTCTACGGTTACCCCCCTCTCTCTCTCTCTCTCTCTCTCTCTCATGTCGAATTGATGGTGAATGTTATTTAAGGTGAAGGTATTTGAACTATTATATAAGAAATAGACTAATATATATAAGTTTACCTATATATATATAGTTGAACTATACCTCAGTCGGGTTATAATAATATGACCAGTAATACATCTTATATAACCTATACTCCAGTCTATAATTATTACTAAAACAGTTTCACTGTCTCTAAATTATCCGTTATATAGTTTAACATGTTATAGCTATAATTTCTACTGATAGAAATGAAATAAGGTTTAACGTCCTACTGTTCTACTTCGACTGGGCTAACAAAGACGCCATACAATGTGCTAAGAAGGAAATTGTGACACAGTCCACTCTTTGAACTCCAACTTCCCCGTTACGGCCTATATTTATGAAATGAAATGGGTTTAACGTCTTACTGTTCTGCTCTGACTGGGTTAATGCAGACGGGCATATGCCATACAGAGAAAAAATTTGCCCGCACAGCGGTGTCACGGCCTACATTTAAATCGAGTTCCCACTGCTAATTAGGGAGCTATTAAATACGTGCACCCTAATGTGGTATGGGTATTGCTATATTATACAATATTACAGAATGACCTTTTTTCTTTTAATTGCATATTTTTATCTTGTCATTTAATCCCTCCCCTTAATTCTACACTTCTCTTTTAATTCTGCCTCTTAATTCTACACTTCTCTCTTAAATCTGCCCCTTAATTCTACCTTCTCTTTTAATTCTACCTCTTAATTCTACCCTTCTCTTTTAATCCCCTCCTTAATTCTACCCTTCTCTTTTAATTCTGCCACTTAATTCTACCCTTCTCTCTTAATTCTGCTTTACTTCGAAGTCCAATGTATATGTTTTAATGCTTACGCGGAATAAGAGAATAAACCAGAAATACTCGGGGTAATCTTTACATATTATTATTATTTTTATTATTTTGTATTTCAGGGTATCGAGCGATTATAAGAATCCAATGTGGGCAAAGGCTGGCCGAGAATTGAGATTCATGGCGGACGAATTCGCGAGATCGTCGCGACGGAATGACGTCAAACGAAAGGCACAAGAGGTAGATATATTATTCCGTGAGTTACTTTGATAAATAATTTTATATATAAGATTGGATGAATTATATACGGTCTGTTATCACCATGGTAACAATAAGATAGATACGGTGCTGTTTCTGACGTACGCGTCAATCATATATACTAATTAATAAATAAAATATATACTGCCTCTAATGATGTATTACAGTTATTAACCTCCACTATATTCACAAAATAAATGCAAAAATTGTATGGGGAAATGAAAATTACAAAAAGGTTTGATGCTTGTGCATAGGTTGTATTTGTAAGAAAGCGAATTTTATTTTTGAAACCTGTACTCAAGAAACCTAATCAGACCTACTAATAATACAAAATAAAAGAAAAATAAATAAATAAATAAATAAATAAATAAAATAAATAACAAAAAAAAAAAATAAAAAAGATATACAACACGAAAGCAATAAATCATAGATTTTATATTTGTAAATATGAACTCATTGTACAGTATCGATTTATAACAATTTCAACTATTATTCAAGAGTGCATGGCTTTACAATCGAGCTGGCATTTCGCCAGTTTCACTCTAATAGGGTATATTAAATCAGCACTGCCTTGGTTAAATTATCTCGTCGACTAATTTTATCCCGATACTCGATATAGCGGTAGAAATATGATATTTATTGCATAAAAACTCCCCATGGGGAGTAGTATACAAAACATATGAATTACAACACACATACACACGTATTGAAATATAAACGAGATATAAATATATACTATAAAGTTTTGAAATATAAGATATAATAGTCCTATATAATATGTCATTATTTATAGGTAAGATATTGTTCGAGTTGTGTGACAAATGACGTATATGTTTTACATGACGTATAATATACAAAGGTGTGTATATATAGTAGTGTTGGCCTTTCTTCACAGTTTTAATTAGTAATGTTGGTCTTATTGTAGAGGTTTTAATTAGTAATTTTGGTCTTATTGTACAGAGTTTAATTTGTAAAGGATACCAAAATAAATCTGTTGTAACTATTAGCTGTGTATATAAAAACATATAATTGCTTTTGTTTACGTAGTTTTAATAAATATACAAATTATTTCAAGGTTTTCTTATATATAAATAATATTATTACTATACTTTTAATAACTAAGTACATAGTTTTGTAAGACATAATAATATTATTAACTAAGTACATAATATTTTTTTTTAGAACTTCTTGTTGTTGCTTGTTTGTTTTGTTTTTAATTATTTATTAGATATAGGCCTAGGCCAAGGCCTATTTTATTAAATATATATTTCTACGGTTATAGGTAAATATTTCTATGTAGATAAATTTCTATGCTCAAATACACGTAAGTACGATAAAATGCTCAAAGTACGATAAAAATTAACTATTCTTACGCAGTCGAAATGTTTTCTAAATGTAGAATCTTATTTATATAAATAAACCAGAGGTTTTTTCCAAGACGGTTTCAAAATTATTCTTTTGAAAGAAAATGGTCGTCAATGACGTCAAATCCACGGGATATGACGTACCCATAATATATATATATATATAGTGTCACCCGATTCATTCTTTAAAATATACCCTTACTCAATAAAATCTTTACAAAAAATAAAAATAAAAAAATAAGTCGCAATTCGCAATTTCTTCATTTACCGGTAATAACTGTTTTTCTTTTTAGGGGTCGCGGTTAAAAGAAATATCTTTTTATGCGAAGACGGACATGGAAATTATATTTGTTCCGTATATGAAAATAAATCCGTTGTCAATGTACACCAGTATCATATCCTGTTAGGGCTCCTAATTTAAAACATTACAAAATTTTTGAAAATGCGTAGAAGTTTTTACAAAGTACCTTTATTTAAATTGTGTATTTTGCGATAGACTACATGTAAAGATATGTACAGTGTGTATGGCTAAATCTATTTGTTAAGGCCAGCTCAATTTTTGTCAAGGTCGTTGATATGTAAATAAGGTTAGGGCACGTGATTGTTGACGACATTGTAGGTTAGGGTTAGAGTAAGCATCAGGGCTAGATCCAGGGTTAGGGCTAGGGCTGGGATTACATGTCTTGACCTATGACCAAAAAAATGAAATGAAATGAAATGAAATGGAGTTTAACGTCCTACTGTTCTGCTCCTAACCCGGGATAATGAAGACGGGATACGCCATACAGTGTGCTATGAGGGAAATTTTGCCCGGACAGCGGCACTACGGCCTACTCTTATATCGAATTCCAACTGCCAAGGGATCTTTTACGTGCACGCCAATGTGTACACGGGACCTCGGTTTTTCGTCCCATCCGAACGACTAGACAGCTTTCCTTGTCAGTCCCAAAAAAATGAGCTGGCCTTATCATTTAGCATTAACCCATGTGTGTACGCGAGTCTGTATAAATTAGTCACAATGAGTAAACAAAACGCGCCGTAAATTGATGTGTAGCCTACTCGTCATGTTTTTAATACTGTTCAATATTATTACTTATATTTACATATCATATATATTATGACCATATATAGACATAAACTTATCGATAACGTGCACCTGTCAAACTACATCATCTTGATCAGTTTCCACACCGATATCGCCAGGGTCGTAGATAACGTCAGCCATATAAATAGAACAATTAATCATCAGCATTAAATAGTAATAAAGATAACACAAGCTATAGATCAGATTGTCATGACGGTAGAACATTCGGATAACTTCTATTGTTACTATGTAATCATACGCAAGGCTTATATAGTCATAATGATGCACTGTAATTGTATCGACTTATTCGCCCTTTTTAATTTCTTTGTTTTAATATATACATTTAATAAACTAATTAATATAAAGCCAAGACCCTTCAACTTTTTATATTTTAATTTTATTATTATTTTATGTTTTACATTTATCTGACAATTAAATGTGTGGATCTAGAATTTAGGGAACTGGGTGATGGGGTGGGGTGGGATGTGTTGGGGCAGGGACAAATTTTAATCAGAAATCACCTTCTATTATTACATTCAAATCACATTTGAAAACTCATTTATTCAAACAGGCTTTTTACTGATTTATGTGTAGTTAATTTTATTTATATCATTTTACATTGTCTTTCTCTTTTTACGGTTTTTAGGAACTGTTTTTTTTATTATTATTATTATTTGTTATAACTTTTCGTTTTTTATCATAAATTGTATTTTTACTTTGTTATTGTTAAGCGCCTCTGAAAACTTCGGTGAAAGATACGCTATATAAATGTATTATTAAATAATAATAATTCCCCAGAAGCACCCCTATGTATGCGTACCCCAGTGCTTCCTCTGAGGTCCTTGTCTATATAGGTATTATCATTATATATTTCAGGTGAGCGTTAATAATATTACATACGAACAATTTAAAGATTTATTAGCCGAGTTATTTTGCCAAGGACACATAACAAAAGAACGTATAATGGTTTTATTTTTCTTCTGTTCTGACGTAGCTGTGAGAACTTTTTCATCGAGTGTAGATTTATGTAAAAAGTTTATAAACTGGTCATTGTCGTTTATTACAAGAAATGTTTGTCGATGGGTGCGAGATCGTGGTGGATGGGTAAGTTTAGATTTTTAAAAAATTTTCATGAATAAAAAGTAACAAAATGACTGCATCCTCCTGGGGCAGATATGAGGGTGGGGTGGTGGTGCGGTACTACCCCTTTCCCTAGCAATAGATAGAGATTGGGTTTTAACGTCCACACATCATAACTATATCATTTCGTATGGTACCCTTATTAAATTCAATAATTTACTCGTGTGCATATTAAGACCGCAGCAGAGACGGTTTTCAGCCGATCCTTGTAACACTGAACTATTGTGATGTGGAACTCAAAACACTTGATTAGACCAGAAAGAAGGGCCTAACAAGGACAGCTGTCTAGTCGTTCGGATGGCACGAAAAATCGAGGTCCCGTGTATACATTGACGTGCACTTAAAAGATCCCTTGGCAGTAAGAAGTCGATATAAGAGTAGGCCATAGTGCCGCTGCCCAGGCACGATTTTCCTTATAGCACACTGTCTTAATTAGCCCAGTTGGACCAGAACAGTAGGACGTTAAACCCCATTTCATTTCATTTACTTGATTAGACGGCTCGGCCCTCAAACTCGAGAATATTTGACATTAGTTTACAACTTATAATATTATAGTAATGGAGGAAGACCGCATCACACACAATCCATTGGAAACATAGAAGACCAACCCGCGTACACGACACGTCACAAACAGGCATGTTTCGGAGATGGAGATTTCAAGAGCCCACTGCGCTTTTCAGTCCAAGTTGTGCAGACTTCACTCAAAATGAAATCAAACCAAAAACACGGGAGACAACCTATAAATAGAAACACGTAAAGAGGAGAATTTGTCAATTTCCGTGTTTATTTCGTCTTCCAAATTTATTTTAATCTATTTCTATGTCTTTATATTTGCAGGAAGATGTACTTGTGATTGACCACATTCTCACTGTTCCTAAACCAATTATCGTCCTTGGAGCTTTTGTTTTCATATTTTTCGCTGTGAAGTATTACAGATCTTAAAGACCTAAATCGGGCGATTAACGTACACACGTTTACAACACAAACCAAATCAAACGCTAGATCAGCAGCTGGGGACTTGGTCCCCCAAATTTTAATCTGATCTCAAGTCACGGGGGAGGAAATGTACAAGGGGCACACATGTGAAGACGACGCCACTACGGGGATATAGGAACCGGTACTTGGATGGAGTTGCTCTCTAGTAAAAATCTCTCAAATATTCTTCTATTTGACAATTTGACATAATTGTCGGAGATTTCCAACACATTTCCGTGACTTGTCGTAGACGCAGTTGTAACAGAAGGGTTGCGTTTATCGCAAACGCACATCAAAGAACTGCAAGGAGTATCATATACTATATGTACTTTGCATTATGGACGTCTTTGTTATTTCTGTAGTCCGCAAGATGTCGTTTTGTTTTAAGGAATTCGGCAATTGAATTTTTGTACTTAAACATATAACTTTGAAATAATGGTGTTCAAATGTTGTGTGAAGATGGAAAGACGGGATGGTTGTGAAGAAGGTTTTGTGAAATTTTGCCTAATATCTGAAGATATATTATAAAAAATATAACTTTATTAATTTTAATAAGAAAATTAAAAACAATTTGACCAGGGGAACCCGAGGTTCGGACAGGGTTGGCCTGATTATTTTGATAAGAAACTTAAAAAACAATTAGCCCAAGGGCACCCGAGGTTCGGACAGATGGTCTTCTTAATTTGATAAGAAAATTAAAAAGCGCTTTGACCAGAGGCACCCGAGGTTCGGAATGGTTGGCCTGATTATTTTTTGTATTTACATCAGGGCCCTTATTCACGAAAACTTAAACTAAGATACAATCGAAATTTTAAGAAATACTGCAATTCGATTAGCTGACCAGTAAAATCAATCTGAATATATCCAATGAAGTTGCAGTATTTCTTAAAATTTCGGTTGTAACTTAGTTTAAGTTTTCGTGAATAAAGGCCCTGATGTTAGAACTATACACGTGTGTGAAAATAGGCTAGTGATAAATGATAAGGCCAGCTCAAGATTTCGTCATAGGTCACGAGATGTAAACAGGGCTAGCGCTAATCCCAACCCTAACCCTAACCCTGGACCTAGCCCCAATGCTTACCCTAACCCTAACCTACAATCTCGCCAACAATACACTTTCTTAGTCTCAGTAGCCTATAAACAAACGGTCGACCTCCGGGTCGTGTCCTGCATCTGGTAGGCCTGCACTAGGCTTTGGCTGATCACTGATATTTCCGTGCTTTTATATAACCGCCATGAGAAATCCCAAAATATGAATTATTTTTCTTATGACCGAAAATATATATAAATACATGTATAATATGGACCAAGGTTGTATAGCGTCGTATAGATGACGATCCTTTAAAAGGAGACTGGACAGTATTGTCTATATAGTAAATAGGATTTTTGTATTAATTAAGTAAGACTTGATAATAGAGATTTCATGTCACCGCTGTCTCCCGATTGTATTATTTAATGATCATGAAATGGTCGACCTGTGTTCATGTTTTATTATTTCATTGTTTATCTATCTTGTATTCTAATGAATGACATAGGCGTACGAGCTGGGGGGGGGCTTGGGGGCGCCGCCCGCCCATTTTGGGCACCAAATGCTGGGGAAATTTGGGCACACAATTGTATTTTGTAAAAGTTGTATAAAAAAAGATATTGTGTTCTTGAATGTGTCCAATTTAACAGCGAATTTATTATTATTATGTAACATACTAAGAACCTAACTACATTTTTGGGCACCAACCCCCCCCCCCCCCGTCAAAATTTCCCCCTACGCCTATGATGAGTGATAGAAGGCAGAATATCTTAGTTTCATGAATTATGTGTCACTTTACCAGAGTTTGTTTGAAGGGACGCGGAAATGCCGCTCTGCAGGACATAATGAATTCATCCATGACAACATGCCCGTCTTCATTAGCCCGGTTGGTGCACACAGGGAGGACGTTAAACCCCGTTTCATTTCGTCATTAAAAGAACATACGGCTCTTATTAGATGGAAATGAAGCGCTGAATTTGACAATCTGATGATGTACTGACATTAACGGAGCAAGCTTTTCTACATTGGGTTTTCTTTTGGTAGGCTTAGCCTATCTATTAATTTTAGTTTAATTTTGGGCTTCAAAATTTACACTCAAAGTGCTGTAAAGTAATCAATACGTTGCGATTAGTAGAATCTTATAGACAGTGTGTCTAGTCCTTCGGCGGGTCTCCAACTTAAGCCAACCTCACTACCCAAAAAAGGTGCTACTATGGGCAGTCTGCGCGGGAAAATTGTAGTAAAACCCATGCGTGATACTTACACGTCATTTGCGTGGCGTGTGTTCGACACAGTAGAAGATCGCAGCCTTGCTGTAGAGACTTTTGGCCGTGCATAAAATTTTTACTTGTTTTCTTGCGACTGGTCTGCGAGCTACCAAACCCTACGATCCGTGCGTGTCCTACAAACAAACAGTGGTAAAGTGTATGGTTTTGTCTGCGATATTATAAGAGACGGTACTATATAATTACCACTATGTTTCTAGTCCACTAAATAAAGAAAGAGAGAGAGAGAGAGAGAGAGAGAGAGAGAGAGAGAGGGGGGGACAAGTAACCGTAGACAATAAAAACTAATGTATAGGCCTATGTATTTCTGATCAAAATAACAATGTTCAATAAAATGAAACGGGGTTTTAGGAAATGAATTAGAACGCATGTATCTTAGCGACGAACAGACAGATTATATATATTCCCCATTATGCACACAGTATAATTCTATTGGCAAATCATGTTTAATCGATAATCATTTTATTAACGACCGACGAATTTTTACATTTTGAAAAATTGAACAATAAACAATCTGATTAAAAGTAACATCTATTATTTCGTTTCGGTTTCTTTAATACTTTCTATGGCCTCCACTACCCGAAGATCTGACCGGTTGTAGTGGAAGGTCGCGTCGGGGTCATACGAGCGGCTTTTGGCCCTATGATGTCAGACATTTGATTAACCAATCAGCGTTGATGTTTCTAGTGGAATACCCACAATTCCGTGCAGCGCACGCCAAGAACTCGCTGCAACAATCCGTTTCATTGGCTAATCCCTCACATCAACCAGGCGCAGGTTATACAACTGTTGTAGTAAAGACAAGTAAACGAAATTTTGAACTTTAAAAAACGAAACGAAATAGGATCTGTGTTTCAATCAGATTGCTAATCATATCGATCTCAAGACTTGTGATATTTATATTAAATATTATTATGTTTTTCATAAAATGTATTTTATGTTGTTTTTTTGTGTGTTCATATTTGTTTATTTATTCGCTGCTTTTTGTGGGTTTTTTGTAAGCCTAAGAATTGGGTATGACTATATGTATATGTATGACTTTGTATAATAAAAAATAAAATGTTTACAAATTAAAAAAGATCCGAGAATTTAGTTGAGTCACCCATCATAACCTGCCCCCCCCCCTCTACTATGTAGCTATTTTCCCCCAGGTCATCTTCTACTTTATGGCTATTTTCCCCGAGGTCATCGTCTACTTTGTGGCTATTTACCCCGAGGTCATCGTCTACTCTGTGGCTATTTGCCCTGAGGTCATCGTCTACTCTGTTGCTTTTTGCCCCGAGGTCTTCAACTCTGTGGGTATTTTCCCCGAGGTCATCTTTTACTCTGTGCCCCGAGGCAACCCTCTACTCTGTAGACATCATTTTCCGCGGATTCAACCCGTCTCTTACCGATGAATGAAAACAAAATGGAAGGGGTTGTAAGAAATACCGGAAGGACAACAATCCAAATGTAACCCAATGAAATGCTGTTCGTGAGTGAGGGAGGGGGCGTGATATGGGCTCATCGGTTCCTCTCGGAATCTTTATATTTGATCAAGCCCACATTCACTGCGTTTTACGCGACAGAGGGAGAGAGAGAGCGAGAGAGATGGGGTTTAACGTCCACTCGACACAAACTACGTCATTTCGGGACAAACAAATGGTTCAATTTTATTTCAATCATTCGCTTGCGCGTAGGGGTCTTTAGCAGTGGGAGGACACGGAGAAAACCCACGAGGTTAGACAGGCGACCCTTCTCCTTGTCACGTACAATCGGAGAATCAAAACCCCGCCAGTTGACCCAATGACGGACCGTATGATACAGCGCGTACGTGCTAACCATTCGGTCATTCAATCCACCTTTACGCGACAGACATCTGTTATGGGGAGGGGTGATTGGTGTTACGGGCCCTGGGGCCCATGCCTCACGAAATATAGGTTGTATTGTAAACCCTGTGGCCTACTGCTGACAGATCACTCGGGGGATTAAACTAGGGGGTATAATGTTAAACATCCTCGAAACATTTGCGATAATTTAAGAAATTCATTTATGAAAATTTCTATTTGTTTAGCAGCTAGGGATCACCTTGATAGAAATCTTTTAAAAAATAGAGATCGACCTTTACATTTATTCCTACGTGACGTAAGCGCAGTGGGGGGGGGGGGCACCTCACGCAAACAAAATCGGTAAGAGAAACTTGCGGACAACAAAAACTACATACACATTACTTAGAGAGAGAGAGAGGGGAGAGAGAGAGAGAGAGAGAGATTAGGTTTAAAGTTCACTCGACACAAACTAGATCATTTCGGGACTAACATATGGTCCAATTTTATTTCAATAATTCTCTTGTGCGTTTTGGGGTCTAAGCATTGAGAAGAAACCAGAGGACCCAGAGAAACCCACGAGGTTGGACTATAAACAATTTGCGATAATTTGACCAGTCACTTAGCAGCTAGCGATCACCTAGAGCGCGGGAGGGGGGGGCGGAGGGCACAACACGCAAGAGAAACATTGAAAGAAATAAACAAAAAAATATCAAATGTTACGCATATTCATTAGCAAATTGATAATCGCCTAGAAAATTCTGTCAACAGTCCGACGCGCTACTCAACATCAGCCAACTGCTGCCCGGAGTGCAGATCGCTTGTAAACATGGTTGAGGTCGATGTCATTACTGCTGTATCCTATTAAAACTTTTAGCGTCATAGATTTTTTTATAAAAAAATGGTAAACTGTTAGCTGAAATATGAGTACGTTCGAATGTTGATGTATGTAGAGAAAGGCCCACGTTTAAATGGTTTTTATATGCAGAGAAATATTTTACATGGGAACAAAAAGTGAACGAAATCCAATACGACGAAAACAAGGGAAGAACAGAGCCTATATATGAGGGATATTTTGTCCGGACAGCGGCACTATCGCCTACTCTTATATTGAATTCCAACTGTCAATGGATATTTTACGTACACGCAAATGTGTACACGGGATCACGGTTTAATCGTCCCCTCCGAACGACTAGACAGCTGTCCTTGTCAAGCCCTCCGACCTGCATCACTGACAAGGGGAACCACGCCGGAAAATCTGGATAAACTTTCTCGGCCAATGCAGGGATCGAACACCCGACCTCCAGGCTAGCGAGCCAGCGTCTTACCCACTTAGCCACCGTGATCCCCCAATTATAATAATAATATAATAGGTCTTAAAAAAAAAAAGTCTTAGATATAGTTGAATAATGTATTTATTTGTCTTTACGTGATAAAATATATTTAGAATGTAAACAAAAGAAGATTGTTGAATAAATAAAGAGGCTTGCTTTCTCTTCTAATTAATGAGTATTGATTAATTTTATTAATCAATGTATCGTTCGATTGATGACACTCGAATATCCAAAACTAGAGTTGTTCCCCTTACACCAGACGTGCCTTAATGTGGACATTTTAACCCTCGATTTTGCAGTGAATGATTTGCTACTTGCATATTATTCGTTTCCTAATCGTATTTCTTATTTTAAGTATTCTATATTTGCTCTGAAAATCATAAATTATGTCCGATGAGACGTTTTCATATATATTATCCTTTGGTTTAGAGATTACACCATAAGCAATATGGCGTCGATTGGATCGGAGGAGGTTGTCATCACGTCAATATGTAATTATTGAATACGCTAGAATACTGACAGATATTTTTTATTGGAAATAATGAACCGGCACCAAGTTTTAACGGGTGCCTGTAACCTGGGCGACCATTGCTACGCTGTAGGAAGTGTCGAGGGAATCCATTTTACGGTAAGTTCTGCATTTTGTTGACATCACGGTGATCGACATTTTTCAGTTTCTATCTGTCGTCTGCAGTTGTGGTATGTTCCTATATCTAGATAATGTAAGGTCATAATACATACGGAAATATTTTAGTAGAATTTAAATCTATATACATATAGATAAAGACACTTGTTCTTCAGAAACAATAAATAATTTTTATTTTAAGAGTAGTGTTTGGGTTAGTTTTTTGTTTGTAAATTTTATGCCCGACATTTGAGTATGAGTTAACGTAAGGTAGTGCACGAGACAGGATATGGTCTTCTACATGTAGGTTGAATGATTATTTACACCAAGTATGATTATTCCGTTTTATTTATTTTGTAAGACATAACTGTGTGAACAATTATCAAAAGAGTTAAGAAAAACTAAGTCCGAAATAAATTGTATGAATTATTGAATATAAAATAATTATACATATGTATTTTGCCATCATTATATTTAATATTAATGGGTCTGTTAGAGTTTATGCTATTCATTAATCTACATCTATATACGTTTATGTCAGTAATTGGGGTCAGTTGATTGATTATGATTTCAACTGACAGACACATTGACATACACACATAGCCTATAGATGTATTCATGAATTCATATTATACACACATGATGTCATACACATAATGTATCATTCCAGTCATATGTATCATGTATGTCATACACATATAGTGTCATACACGTACATGTATAATGTCATACACATACCAAGCTATACAGGCATTCATGTTTGATGTGACTCCCATTTTTGTGTTATAGGTTTTAATCTTAAATACCTGACCCTGACCATCACCTTCACCCTAACCTTAGTAGAAAGTAGGAAGTTCCATGTGGACACAGTACGGACGACTAACCGTTAGTTTTTCGGTGTAAAAGTGATGGAAATAGAAAAGGGAGTCGGATCAAACATGATCGCCACTATACACATACCATGCTATACACATATCTTGGCTACGTCATACTTGTGCACATGACATGATTTCATAATATACATTTAGATAATTAATACATTTAGATAATTAATTCGAAAAATGGGCCTGACAAGGACAGCTGTCTAGTCGTTCGGATAGGACGAAAAACCGAGGTCCCGTGTACACATTGGCGTGCACGTAAAAGATCCCTTGGCAGTTGGAATTCGATATAAGAGTAGGCCTTAGTGCCGCTGCCCGGGTAAAACTTCCCTCATAGCACACTGTATGGCGTATTCCTGTCTTCATTAGCCCAGTTTAGTAGCAGAACAGTAGGACGTTAAACCCCATTTCATTTCAATTCGAAAAATACTCTGTGTTTAGAGGTTTCTTAAAGATTGATACACATGTGTATTAAGGCTGTTCTTTTGGTGCATATACGTGTATAATTTATTCCACACTTTTGTACAAGTGTAGGCCAAGACTCTTTCTCTATGGGGAGCCACAGTGGCTATGTGGCCAGAACGTTGGCTCGCTTTCCTGGAGGTCCCATGTTCGATTTCTGCGTTGGCCGAGAAGTTTGTCGTGGTTCCCCTTGTAAGTTGTGTAAGACAGAAGACCTGGCATGGGACAGTGTTTAGTCGTTTTGATAGGACAAAAAAACGAGGTCCCATGCACAAAGTGATGTACATGTAAAAGAAACCACAGTTGCAATTCAATGTAAGAGTAGGCCGTAGTGCATGGTGTATGCCCTTCTTCATTATCCCAGTCAGAGCGGGGGGTGGGGTGGGATGGCTGAATGGTTAGCACGTGCGCGCGCTGTATCATAAAGTCTGTCATTGAGTCAACTGGTGGGGTTTCGATTGCCCGGTTGTACGTGAGTAATGTCACCTGTCCAACCTTGTGGGTTTTCTCTGGGTCCTCCGGTTTCCTCCCACTGCTAAAGACCCCTACTCGTAAGCGAATTATGGAAATAAAATTGAACCATATGTTAGTCCCAAAATGACCCAGTTTGTGTCGAGTGGACGTTAAACCCCATTTATCTCTCTCTCTCTCCAGTGAGAGCAGAACAGTTGGATGTTATACACCATTACATTTCTTTTTGTTTCAATTTATTTTGGGTACAGTACAAACTACCCTGTTACTATTGATTACTATGAAAAGATATGTAGTTTTAATATACCGGTACTTCATGTATGATGACACCTTTTAAAAAAAAAAAAAAAATCAAATTATCGAATGAAAGATATAGAGGATTTTTGTCGTTTTGTCGTGAATAACATATTTTATTTCATCGAGAAGCAAGAAAACTTATATTTTCACTCATGCTACGCATTCGTGAAAATATAAGCGTTTTCTTGCTTAGAGATGAAATAAAATATGTTATTCACGACAAAACGACAAATGTTCTATTTATTTTATGATTTTACAATCATTTTAGGTAAAAACAACGCTAGCCAGTGGAATAACACTTTTATTTCACTGATAAAACGCTGTATTCCACTACTGATCATAAAATAAAGAAAGTTATCTTTAAAAATGCAGTTATCAAATCTGACCGATATAGTTGTTTATTACTAGAGTATAGGCCTATAATAGTATACTGGATGCTGTGTCAAAAAACCCCATAAAATTGTTTTGTTTTAAGTTAAAAAGTGTGAAAAATGGTGTGAAGATACTATGAATTATGCAATCGGATTAAAACACAGATCCTATTTCGTTTTGTTTTTTAAAGTTCAAAATTTCGTTTTACTTGTCTATACTACACTAGGATCTGGAAGAGTTGTTATATTCAAATTTGAAAACAATGTCCATTATTATTATTATTATAATTATAATACAATGGACGACTCTATGTTCCAGGCCATCGATAATTCTAGACCAATCAAAACTAAGATAATTGTAATAGTTTTGTCAACATACATGCCTTACACATGACATGCCTGAATGTAGCTTTAGGGTGTTTAAATAAGACCAGCAAAATTGTTACAATAATAAATAAAGTCTCGATTATCCATTTTTAAATTAAATGGCAATCATGTTTCAATATGTTCAAATTTGACAAATTCACAACCATCCATGACCTAGAGAGTTGATTACCGACGTGTCGCCTTTTCCTATTAATAAAGACCTGCAATACATGTACAGTCCTTCACGTTTAAGGGGAGCTTTTGCTCCCGACACACGTCAGCTTTTCTTTGAAGGACTTATTAAAGACTCCTGCAAATGAGCTAAATCGCTCTCCTAAATATTGAGATTAATAAACTACTTTCAGTTTTTGTTTACTTTTAAACTGCATATATTCAAGGTATCAGGAGCTTTTTATGGCTCCCGCACAATTTTATAAACATGAAGGAAGGGCAATAGTCTGACTAGCCCTTACATAATGCATCTTTAATGATATAGGATATCACGTGACAAGGAGTAGGGTCGCCAGGTCCTCCGGTTTCCTCCCACTGCTAAAGACCCCTACGCGCAAGCGAATTATGGAAATAAAATTGAACCATATGTTAGTCCCGAAATGACCTAGTTTGTGTCGAGTGGACGTTAAACCCCATTTCTCTCTCTCTGATAAAGGATATCAGTTCCCAGATTCTATCCACATGCACATTTTTTCCACCAAGCGATTTTCTGATTTATTGTCTGTCATCTTAATATGCAGCTTGAGGATATTTTTTTAAACCAGTGAATTGCTTGGGTGCTATTCAAGGAATGTCAGAATTGTGAGGCTAATGTATTATTTATTTAAAGATAAAGAGCTGACAGTTCGGACTATTATACCGGTAGTTAAAAACTACATAATGGAAAGAGAATATCTTCATTCTGAGCAACGTTATAGCTGTTTGGATAATAGCAATGTCTTGATTTTTACGACCATAAACAAAGTCTTGATTCTCCATTTCTTAATTAAATCCTTAACTGCCAATCATGTTTAAATTAGTTGAAAATCTCGCGCATCCAATGGCATCAAGAGTTGATTATAGTCTTGACAATTTAATAAATGTCTAATTGATAATTTATATAACATTTTAACTCTTGCATAATGTATCTTTTTAACCATTTTATAGTAATTGTAATGTTCAGTCTCATACATTGTTTCATTTTAGTGATATCAGCAGTTCCTCACATTTATGAAATCATGCGGGAGCCATTAAAAGTGGCTTTCAATTTCATAAATGATAAAAAAGCTACTGTAAAACACTTTTCTTAATTATATTGTGAGAGTAATTCTAACTTTTTATGAATTAAAGAGAGCTTTAGTCTTGTTAATATTCTCTTTACAAATGTTTATGTTCTTATGGAAAATAATGGTGTACATTAGCATTCGATATCAGCATGAAAACGTGGGCAATCTGGTGAATATGGTAGCATTTGAATTATCATCATGGAAACTGATACCTCGAACGTATGTAGTTTGAAAATAAACAAAAACTGAAAGAAGTTTATTAATCTCAATATTTAGGAGAACGATTTAGCTAATTTGCGGATGTCCTTATTAATGACTACTTCTAAAGAAAGTCAAGGTGAGCCGAGAAGCAGAGAGAGAGAGAAATGGGGTTTAACGTCCACTTGACACAAACTAGGTCATTTCGGGACTAACACATGTGCACGTAGGGGTCTTTAGCAGTAGGAGGAGCCGGAGAAGACCCACGAGATTGGACAGGCGACCCTACTCCTTGTCCCGTACAACCGGGGAAGCAAAACCCTGCTAGTGCGCACATGCTAACCATTCGACCATCCCCCCCCCCCTATAAAAACTACAATATTGTTAAAGATGAAACTCCAAGATTACCAGTCCAGAAATGGTTTAATTTGATATTTGAGCAAAAAAACGCCAATGACACATGGTTATTGTAAGTTTTACCTTTTTTATCCGCCCACAATTAAAGTAGCTAAGTCTATAACACAGTATCACACACAGTCTTCGACATTAAAAAACACGAGTTATTTGTCAATTTAAATCAACATTGATGTTATGATCTTACCTGAAAAAGATGGGTTTCTGATATCCAATATTTAAAGATACATTATGTAAGATTTAGATAAAGAGCTGGCCATTCTTGC